CGTGAAGTTTACACTTGCCGGATGCCTCGGTTGGATTCAACTGAATCGACCGCAGCTGTTACCGTACATTTCTGTACCCATGCTGAATAACTCGTTCTTTCTTGATGCAGCGTGCACATCTATTTATTTATTTATTTTTGGTGTACATATTACGAAAGCCCATTGAGCTCATTTTCGTATTGTATTTTCGCTCCTCTACTATACGCTTCAACACTTGTATTGAACAGCATTGAGAAAGACAAAATGTGACTGCAAAAAAGATTTAGAAAGAGGAGAGACACATTCAATGGCGAGAAAACATAAAATTTCAGCTCGTGATAATCCAAGTTCAAAATAGTCTTTCGTTTTTCATTGTAATGAATAAACTAGATCATTAAAAAGTAAAACAAACTGTAGACTTACGCAAATGTCTCTGTTTTACAGGAAAAGTTTCGCGTTATAACGCGAAAGTTTCGCGTTTATTCGCGAAAGTTACGCGTTATAACGCGAAAGTTACGCGTTTATTCGCGAAAGGTTCGCGTTATAACGCGAAAGTTTCGCGTTATAGTGCGAAAGTTTCGCGTTATAATGCGAAAAATATATTGTTTTACCTACGAAAATGAGCTCAATGGGCTTTCGTATATATTCTACATATTCTATGTAGGTTAGTAGAATTTCTAGATTGTACAATGTTAAGCTAAAATTCCTTCAGGATTATCTTCTAGACATTTTGATAGAATTTATATTAGTTTCCATTTAAAGCAACATTAGCTGCTTTTTTCTTGTCGGCCATATTCGTTGTAAAATTGTAATTTTTTTTTTATTACAATGACAGGAAAAATGAAAAGTGATAAAATTCTATATATGCTACTTATATTTTCATTTGAATTTTTTAGGAGGTGAAATATGAAGATAACGAACAGTATAACCATGCTCAAATGTCCATTGAAACAATACAAATTTTAAGCAGAGCAAACATTAACCTACTAAAAACATCAGAGGTTGGCTCAGGTGCCCTGAGGAGTAAGGGTCTCCAGTCGACCGGTCACACCCGCCGTGTGCCCTTTGTCATGAATGGGTAAACGAAAAAAAAAGTATAAAAATAATATAGCCTATAACAATTTCCATGAAAGACATCAGTCTACATTTGAAAGCAAAATGACATCGTTGTCCTGTATAGAAATTAATTTTTAATATTATCCTATATATTCCATAATATAGAAATTTTTCTTCTGATAAAATTTAACGCTAAAATTCAACCCTTATTGATTATAATGGTATATTGATTGATTGTATGTTGTTTTACGTCCCATTCGAGAATTTTACAATAGATTTATAATAACTCATACACAAACAT